CATGTAACAAGGGTCAATGCCAGTTAGCCAGCTGGTATTCCCCAGCATCAGAGTTGATTATCTACTTCACCAGTTGATAATTGAATAGGATGTGTGGAGGCTGCAGCATGGGCTTGATAGTATTAGAGCAAAGTGGACTCGCCAATACACTGGTACCCTAGGGTGGCCAATGACTGCTAACACATGAAAGAGAGACAACCACACGTATATGCCTCCTGATGAAAGTACACAAAAGTACTTATGAAGCATTCTTTTTTTTTTGAGACAGAGTCTCGCTCTATCGCCAGGCTGGAGTGCAGTGGCACGATCCCAGCTCACTGCAACTTCCGTTTTCCGGTTTCAAGCAATTCTCCTGCCTTGGCCTCCTGAGTAGCTGGGACCACCGGCATGCACCACCACGTCCGGCTAATTTTTTGTACTTTTAGTAGAGACAGGGTTTCACCATGTTGACCGGGATGGTCTCAATCTGTTGACTTCTTGATCTGCCCACCTCGGCCTCCCAAAGTGCTGGGATTACAGGCGTGAGCCACCGCGCCCGGCCAAAGTATTCTTGCTAAAAAATTGAACCTAGGGCCGGGCGCGGTGGCTCAAGCCTGTAATCCCAGCACTTTGGGAGGCCGAGGCGGGTGGATCACGAGGTCAACAGATCGAGACCATCCCGGTCAACATGGTAAAACCCCGTCTCTACTAAAAATTACAAAAAATTAGCTGGGCACGGTGGCGCGTGCCTGTAATCCCAGCTGCTCAGGAGGCTGAGGTAGGAGAATTGCCTGAACCCAGGGGGCGGAGGTTGCGGTGAGCCGAGATTGCGCCATTGCACTCCAGCCTGGGTAACAAGAGCGAAACTCCGTCTCAAAAAAAAAAAAAAAAAAATTGAACCTAAATCAGATCAAATTGCTAGTTCTAATTATAGATTTACATAAAATATAGGTGACAGAGGAATATGTTAAATGATAAGGGAAAGATAGTGAAGATACATTTAGCAAAGTTGAGGTGTGGGAAACAGTAGAACAAATACCTCCCGTTTCTTTGACAAATTATAAGAAAAAATGTGGGAATGATAGTCTGTACATGAAACAAGACTTAAAAGACCTACCAACCAAATATAACATGTATGCCTTATTTGGGTGAATAAACTGAATATAAAAAAAAGAGAAAGTGGGGGAAATTTGAACAATGAATTTTTTTTTGAGACAAGCTCTCTGTCACCCAGGCTCAAGTGCAGTGGCACAATCATGGCTGACTGCATCCTCAGCCTTCGGGGACTCAGGTGATCCTCCTGCCTCAGTCTCCTGAGAAGGTGGGACTACAGGTGTGTGCCACCATGCCTGGCTAATTTTATAATTTTTTTTTGAAGAAAGACGGTCTTACTTTGTTGCCCAGGCTTGGATATTTGATAATATTAAGACACTTATAAAAACATTTTAGACTGGTAATGGTATTTTGATATTATTAAAAATAATCCCTATCTTTTAGAGATGAATATTAAAATATTAAATAATGAGGTAAAATACCTTGGATTGGCTTTAAACTCATCTGGTGGTGTAGGGGAGAAAATGTGGATGGGGTATAGTTGAAATAGCACTGACCAGGAGATGGTGATTGTTAAAGCTGGGTGTGTAAATGGCAGTTCTCTATCCTTTTCCTTTGTTGTATAAGCATAAAATTTTTCCATAATGCAAGGTTTAAGACATTAGACAAAAGAACCTTTACTTGGAAGTTTGCATCATCAACACTTTGTTTCATTAAGTCCCTCTTCTGACTCTTGTTTTCCATAGAGTAAGCCTAAATTTTTGTTAATAACAATTTGAGATTTTAGATATTTATTGTTAAAAGGTTTTTAGAAAGGCAGAGGTGGAAATATTATGCCTGTGGCCATCTTCTGATTTCTTTTTACTTCTTTTTTCCTTTTAACAAAGAACTATTTGCTTATTTGTTGGCTTTTTACTTAGAACATTTAACAAATCATATTAGTGAATGGCGTATAAAATGTGCTTATTATTTAAAACTTAAATAATATAAAATAGACAGGGATTATATAAGCATATTCTTATGTTTTAGTATCTAGAACTGATTTTGTTCCCCCTGAGACTGCTGTTTTTGTTCTTTGCTGATTTATTGATCTGAGACTAGAATCATTGAAACAAAACTGACCTTAAAGGCAACATGCTATCACATTGCTTGACTTTGTGAAATTTTCTAGCTGCAATTCAAATGAGAGCTGGTCTAACACTTTTTTCTTAGTAGTAGAATTCTTACATTTCAACATTACTTTATTCCAGCAAATTGCACATATATCTTTTCACAGAGCTCATGAAATTTTGATGATGGCTAAAACACAAGATATTGAGTTGCTTAATCAATCTGAGTTAATCTTTAATATTGACATCACATGCCATTATGTGACTCTCTGCTCAGGAGACGGCTTTCCACTGGTAGATTATTTGCTTTCATTTTGCTGCTCATACTTCTAATTTTCTATTGCTAAATAGGGAGGCAAGCCAGGGATTTATACATTTCTAACTCTGTACATAGCTTAATTAAGAAAGGTTGAAACTATCATTAAGATGCTTTAGAATTATCTGAAAATTTTATTTATATATTAGCCCTATTAGAAATAGGCATTATTAATTGAGAATGGAGTATAATTTTTAGCTACTTTGCCAAACACAATAAAAATAACCTATTTACTTTTTCCAAAACTGGGTAGTTGGATGTGGATATCTTTCAGAAGCAATGGGGTCCTTACAGGACATGTGCTTTCATGCTACTAATTTTCATGACTTGCAGCCACAGAAAAATAATTATTTTTAAGTGGCCAGCATTCATGTTGGAAAATGAGCCCATTTTTCTTGGCCATCAGAATAACCATTTCCCTTGAACTGTGATAATCAGTTCTGACATACTGCTTTGAGCCTTTTCTTCTTCTGCATTTCAAGAAGGTTAAACATTATTGAGCATAAACCTTTCTCCCAGGAGTTCAGAAAGGCAAAAATTATACATTCAACCTGAACATATGCTTTAAAGTGGATTTCTGTATTCATTCAGCTCTTGGAGTTTTAACAAAGAGGTATCTGAAAAATCATTAGCCAAGTTTCTTGCACACGAGCCTCCACCTCCCTTTGCTTGGTGTTTTTTTGATCTCTGTGAAACTAAACATTAGCCACCCATTTAATAAAATGTGAATGAATTAGGCAAGCTTGATTTCTTCCACTGATGGCAAATATAGAAATTGGGATTTTTACCAATAAAGAGAAACCACTTGGATCAAATTTTCACATTGTTGATCTTCTGAGTTGCACTATTTCCTGTCTTTAAGAGTAAAAGGCTGAATATGGTTGGAGTGTTTTAGAATTCTGCAGTCTATGGCATGTTCTTGAAAACCTGGGCTTTTTAAAAGTAAAAAAAAAAATAAACTTTTAAGTTAAAGTGGGAAATGGAGTGAAGATCAGTCAGTTGGATGTCAGGCATTGTCTGATTCTTCTGTCAGTTACTTGCTTTATATTCTAATTTTAACTTGTTTTTTATTTTTTTCTTTTTGAGACAGAGTCTTCCTCTGTCACCCAGGCTGGAGTGCAGTGGCATGATCTCGGCTTATTGCAACCTCCTCCTTCCAGGTTCAAGCGATTCTCCTGCCTCAGGCTCCCAAGTAGATGGGATTACAGGCATGCACCACCACACCTGGCTAATGTTTGTATTTTTAGTAGAGACGGGGTTTTACAATGTTGGCCAGGCTGGTCTTCAACTCCTGACCTAAGCAATCTGCCCATCTTGGCTTCCCAAAGTGCTGGGGTTACAGGCATGAGCAACGGCACCTGGCCTAATAGTTCTGCTTTCTAAGAAACACAGTAAAATTGTTCCTCCAAAGTAATTTCTTCATTTTAGTTCCTCTCTTTTTTTTTTTTGAGACGGAGTTTCGCTCTTGTTACCCAGGCTGGAGTGCAATGGCGCGATCTCGGCTCACCGCAACCTCCGCCTCCTGGGTTCAGGCAATTCTCCTGTCTCAGCCTCCTGAGTAGCTGGGATTACAGGCAGGTGCCACCATGCCCAGCTAATTTTTTTGTATTTGTTTTTAGTAGAGATGGGGTTTCACCATGTTGACCAGGATGGTCTTGATCTTTTGACCTCGTGATCCACCCGCCTTGGCCTCCCAAAGTGCTGGGATTACAGGCTTGAGCCACCGTGCCCGGCCGTTTTAGTTCTATCTCTTATTCTAACTTTAATAATGAGAGGAGTTATATCACTTTAGAGGAAAGAAACTGTGCTTTGTGTTCTAAACCTTAGCCCAGGGAATTGCAAAATTTCAATACATTTTTAATAATGAATCTCTAGACTATTTTTCTGAAGAGTTACTGCTTAACTTTATCTAAGAGAAAATGTAAAGTGAGAAGTCAGAGTGAAGAGTGGATAAAAGGAAAATCACAGGTTCAGTTATTGTGATGAATTAACAAATTGGGTTGTATGTTACGTATCCAAAGTAACGTTCTTGATGGTCTTTTGAAAGTTATCTAGTCATTATGGGAATAGAAAGTTTAAAAATGTCTTTATTAGGCCGGGCGCGGTGGCTCACGCCTATAATCCCAGCACTTTGGGAGGCTGAGGCGGGCGGATCACGAGGTCGAAAGATGGAGACCATCTTGGTCAACGAGGTGAAACCCCATCTGTACTAAAAATACAAAAATTAGCTGGGCGTGGTGGTGCGTGCCTGTAGTCCCAGCTATTCGGGAGGCTGAGGCAGGAGAATTGCTTGAACCCAGAAGGCGGAGGTTGCGGTGAGCCGAGATGGTGCCATTGCACTCCAGTCTCCAGTCTGGGTAACAACAGTGAAACTCTGTCTCAAAAAAAAAAAAAAAGTCTTTACCATATGTTATAATAGCACCTACTTTAGCAGTGGGCTAGGTCCAGTTTAATTGTTCTTGAGCTAAGACTTAAACCTTTAGTAAACATAAACACTATCTGGGAGGGGCTAAGGGTGGGTATTCTGGAACTATACAGCCTAATGTGAATTTAAATTCTGGCTTCAGCACTTAACAGCTCAGTGCCTTTGGGCAAGTGAGTTGTTACTTAGTTTCTCGTGGCTCAGGTTCCTCCACTTTAGAATGGGGGTCATGACTTCATAGTGTTATTGTGTGGATTAATCTATTTACAGATTTGAATAAGCAAGAAAATTTAATCATGGTACACTACTTAATTCAGGAGTGAATAATATTAAGATGTAATTAACCATAATATCACTGGATATGGATTTTTGTAAAAATTCTGTAAGAAAGATACAGTCTTTATCTTAATAGGACTGAATAGATGATAACTACAATGAATAAACCTAGAAGTACCACTCTATGCATATTACTTGGAACTATTAAGACAAGATATGTAGAAAGTTGAAAGTGGTTGTCTCTGAGAAGGTGGGAGGAAAAGCAAGGGGACCACAATTTTTGTGTATAATCTATTTATTTATTTGAGTGCAAAGAGAAGGCAAACGTATTCTCTCTCACCAGTCACCATTTAACTGACTCTCTACTCCTAAGGAAAAATTCAAGGCAGGTTCTACAACTTTACTGGTCATTTTTAGATAATGGAAAGTTATTGGGTCACTGTCAATCATTAAAAATTTTAGCTCTATCTTATAATAATATAACTCCAGGCCTGGCGTGGTGGCTCATGCCTATAATCCCAGCACTTTGGGAGGCCAAGGTGTGCGGATCACAACATCAAGAGATCAATACTATCCTGGCCAACATGGTGAAACGCTGTTCCTCCTAAAAAAAAATGCAAATATTAGCTGAGTGTGGTGGCATGTGTCTGTAGTCCCAGCTACTCTGGAGGCTGAAACAAGAGAATTGCATGAACCCAAGAGGCGGAAGTTGCAGCGAGCCGAGATTGCGCCACTGCACTACAGCCTGGGCAACAAGAGCGGAACTGTGTTTCTCTCCAGTCTGGCCTTGTGACTTATTACAACTTCATATTCAATGTTAATATTTTTTCCCTTCTCTCAGCTTGAGGGAGATTCAGGCTGCAGTGGCAAAGGGCATGGTTGGATTTTTTTCTCTTCTTTCCTCATTTTCTCCTATCCCTCCCGTTGTTGCTTCTGACTGCTCTAGGATTGGCCAAGGAGAGAGGGGATTAGGGGACAAGGGCCTAGTTTTGTGCAGCCCATATAGTTATAACCTGGCAGCTGGTGTCCTCTGAATGTGTTGTGGTTCCTTTCATCTGGGAAAAGTCTTTTCTTTGCCTGTGTATTCCTGCCTTGGCCCTCTGAGCTTCTGACGGTTCATCCTCTCTGTTTGGTCCCTCCTTCCATCCATCCACAACTTCCTCTTGGATAGGATCCCTTTGAATATGAGCTTAAACTAGCTCCCTCTGTCTCTCTGGATTCATAACTGGCCTCCCAAAAGCATGTGCCGTGGAGGGGCAGCTCGATGCCAAGCAGGCCTTTTATTCTGGCCACAGTCTTCACCTTTAGAGTCTTTTGGTAAGAATCATATTCTAGTCACATGTTCCTTAAACTCCAGGAGAGACATGTTTGCATTTTAAGGCATCTCGTTGAACCACTCTCCCTTGGTTTAAGGGATAGGATATGCACACCAACCTCTCTTCTAGGTGAAATGCTCAAGGCATCATTAGCTTTCTCCAAAACAATCTCTCCTGCTAGTTTCTGGCTTTGTCTTCCTCTCATAGAGTGGTGATGGACTTATGTTGCTCTAACCTGTGTCACACTCACCTAACATGGTCCTCATAGATGGCTTAGCACAGGGCATTTCATACATTTATTGGAAAGGTTTTGTTTGTTTGTTTGTTTTTTTTAAACTTCCAATTCATTACAGGTCTATACCCGGCCCTTTATTGCATGACTGGTCTTCAGTTCACATCACGCTAGTGACGTATTATGTGAGTTCAACAGCACCTGAAAAATAGTCTGTTTGCACTTCTGCCCTTTTGGCTTTCTGAGCAGCACCATGGCGGTTGGCAAAAACAAGCGCCTTATGAAAGGTGGCAGAAAGGGAGCCAAGAAGAAAGTGGTTGATCCATTTTCTAAGAAAGATTGGTATGATGTGAAAGCACCCTCTATGTTCAATATAAGAAATATTGGAAAGACGCTAGTCACTGGGACCCAAGGAACCAAAATTGCATCTGATGGCCTCAAGGGTCGAGTGTTTGAAGTTAGTCTTGCTGATTTGCAGAATGATGAAGTTGCATTTAGGAAATTCAAGCTGATTACTGAAGATGTTCAGGGCAAAAACTGCCTGACTAACTTCATGGCATGGCTCTTACCTGTGACAAAATGTGTTCCATGGTCAAAAAATGGCAGACAATAATTGAAGCTCATGTTGATGTCAAGACTACCGTTGGTTACTTGCTTCGTCTGTTCTGTGTTGGTTTTACTAAAAAACGTAACAATCAGATACGGAAGACCTCTTATGCTCAGCACCAACAAGTCCGCCAAATCCGGAAGAAGATGATGGAAATCATGACCCGAGAAGTGCAGACAAATGACTTGAAAGAAGTGGTCAATAAATTGATTCCAGATAGCGTTGGGAAAGACATAGAAAGGGCTCGCCAATCCATTTATCCTCTCCATGATGTCTTCATCAGAAAAGTAAAAATGCTGAAGAAGCCCAAGTTTGAATTGGGAAAACTCATGGAGCTTCATGGTGAAGGCAGTAGTTCTGGAAAAGCCACTGGGGATGAGACAGGTGCTAAAGTTGAATGAGCTGATGGATATGAACCAGCAGTCCAAGAATCTGTTTAAAGTTCAGACTTATAATAGTGGCAAATAAAAAGTCTTATTTGTGCCCGGGCGTGGTGGCTCACGCCTGTAATCCTAGCACTTTGGGAGGCTGAGGTGGGTGGATCCCCTGAAGTCAGGAGTTCAGAACCAGCCTGGTTATCATGGTGAAAGCCCATCTTTATTTTTAAAAATAAAATAAAAAGTTAAAAAAAAATAGTCTGTTCAACAAGACAAGTCTATTGACCAGTTGTACTTCCAAAGCAATGTCAAGTTATTCTAAAAGTCTCTAAATACTTCCAATTTCTGTATTTATCTTCTAGCAACCCAGTAAAAACAGTTCTCAGACTGGCACTTGTCCATGGGCATATTCTGAGTTGTACTGTTTCAACACTTTCCTTTAGGATTTGGGGATAGTGGCATTCATTGTGTTGTTCCCAGCCTGTGGGATATCAGTTGAAACTGACTAAAAACTTCTAATTTGATATCCTGTTATAATTAGAATAGATTTTCATTAATTCCATGTTTATTAAGCATTTGCTACAGATCCCATAAAAACAAAAACAAATAACTTTATTTATTTACTTATTTGTTTAGAGATGGAGCCTTGCTGTGTCACCCAGGCTGGAGTGCAGCAGTGCAATCTTGGCTCACTGCAACCTCCACCTTCCAGGTTCAAGTGATTCTCCTGGCTCAGCCTCCTGAGTAGTTGGGATTGCAGGTGGCTACCATCACGCCCAGCTAATCATTTGTATTTTTTTAGTAGAGACGGGGTTTCATCGTGTTGGTCAGGCTGATCTTGAACTCCTGACCTCAAGTGATCCACTCACTTTGGCCCCCAAAATGCTGGAATTACAGGCGTGAGGCACTGCACCTGGCCAAATAACTAAATATATATTGTGCTAGGAGGTGATAAGTGGTATGAAAAAAATGCTTCTGGTAAGGGGGAAGATAGTGTTGGGGTGGGATGATGGGTTTACATTGTGCAGTCAGGGAGCATTCTTTTGATAAGGTGACGTCTGATCAGAACCAGGTATCTGGGTTAGAGCCTTTTAGGCCCAAAGTTTTTTAGCATTATTTGCTTCTTTTTTTTTTTTTTTTGAGATGAAGTTTCACTCTTGTTGCCCAGGCTGGAGTGCAATGGTGCGATCTCGGCTCACCACAACTTCTGCCTCCCAGTTCAAGTGATTCTCCTGCCTCGGCCTCCAGAGTGGCTGGGATTACAGGCATGGGCCACCGGCCTTGACTAATTTTGTATTTTTAGTAGAGACAGGATTTCTCCATGTTGGTCAGGCTGGTTTTGAACTCCTGTGACCTTAGGTGATTTGCCCATCTTGACCTCCCAAAGTGTTGGGATTACCGGCGTGAATTGGCCATTATTTGCTTCTTAATTAGTAGGCATGTTTTACTTTGATACAAATACAAGTCAATTTAAAAATGAAAGGGGAAAAATGACGGGGAGATAAAGACATGTAAAGAGCATTTGTAAATTACCCTTTAAAGCAGTTTGCCTAAGAAGAGACTAAGGAATTTAGGCAGTAAGCCAGGGAGGTCCTAGGATTCAGAAAGGTCTTTGTAAGATGAGAGACATTTGAGATATTTTAGGAAGAAGAAAAGGGGCCTTTCCTGGGCCTGGACCGAATGCAGGTGAGGGTAAGGGTAGAAGTGGATACATTTGGGGATAGCTAGAAGTTGTTACAGAAAAATAGTGCTCAGAACCCAGTTGCTGTTTGATGGTTGGACATTTGTTGAGGGATTAAGCTGCTTGGTTGAGTAGTGTTGTCAAAGCATGTTCCAGCCATTTAGAATTGGGAGTTAATGTGAATGTTTCAGCTGATCCAAGATAGAGGGTAGAATTGATAGCTCTAGAGGAGGCGGCTGGGATATTGATGTCAAGAGAATGCTTGAAATGATGCATCATGAGGCTTGAGGAGGAAGGACAGGAAATCTTAATGGCAGTCATGGTCTGACCAGGAACAGAGCATTAGAGGTCTGGATTAGTTTGAAGAGGAGTGAGAGAGCTGGAGAGCCAGAAGTTGGCAGTCACAGTGTTGGATTACAATGAGAGTTCTCAGAATTGGTTTAGTACCAGGTGATGTCATCATCCACAATGGGACCATGGCATGCTGCGAGAGAGAAGATGAAGATTATTTGAGCTCTTGAGCTCAGGAAGTGAGAACTTTTGTGGCTGAGGTGTTGGCTGGCTCATCCATATGTACGTGGAAATCTTCCAGACGACTACACTCAAAGTGGAGAAGAAGCAATAAGTCAGGTTCCAAAGTCCTCAGCAAATGAGGGGGTGTGGCCAGAGGTCAGACAGTGACAATTCAGGAAAAGGAAGACAGTAGCGTTGGATGATGGTTCCCCCTCACAGAGGAACAGGATTTCGATGAGACCTGCAGGAGAAGCAGCAGCCTTTGCTGGAGCGATGCAGAGGTATGGAGAGCAGGCACTTAACAAATACACGTGGAATGACTGAGGTAAGACACGCAGTGGAGATGGCACTTTTGTGAGGAGTTAGAGCTTCCTGACAATGAAATGAAGGTTCCAAAGGGCACCTAGAAAAGAGTTGACTAGGAGGGCAGCAGTGGATAAGCTACAGAGTAGCAAAAGGATTATAGTCTTTGAGAAGAGAGTTGCCCACAGGTCTTGAATTTGGGGTAGTGTACAAGCATGGTAGGGAGAAGTGGTATGGTGGATGAGTTCACCTGTGCTGAGATTCCAGCAGCTCTCGGGATGGAGCCAAGGGTAGCCACAGACAGCCCTCTGCCATTGACACCAATAGTCTGTAGCCTTTGCTCCTAGCTGGATGGTGTGTCCATTAGACACTTATCTGTCCTTAGGGTCCATGAGCTCTTCAAAGGCTTTTTGAGATCACTGGGACCTAAACATAAATTACTGATTCCAAAATAAGAAGCTTGGAACCTAAATTTAAAAACCATCTTTAATTAAACGACTAGTCGTAATTTCAACTGCCCAGTTGCAATTCAACTTTTATATAATTGTGCATAAGTGAAATTTAAAACTACACAAAAATGACTTTTAACAAAATATATTTTTCAAATAATAAAAGCCCTTTCAAACATTTAATGGAAAATTTATTGAACATGTCTGAGTATATGTGTAATGTGATGGGTCTTGAGTATATGTGTTATGTGATGGGACCTGTAAAAGAAATCCTATGAGAAGCTTCTTTTTCTTTTTTTTTTTTTGAGACGATTCTCGTTCTGTCACTAGGCTGAAGTGCAGTGGTGGATCTCGGCTCACTGCAATCTCCACCTCCATAGTTGAAGCGATTCTCCTGCCTCAGCCTCCTTAGTAGCTGGGACTCCAGGCGCCTGCCACCACAATGAGCTAATTTTTGTATTTATTAGTAGAGTTGGAGTTTCACCATGTTGGCCAGGACGATCTCTTTACCTCATGATTTGCCTGCCTCGGTCTCCCAAAGTGTTGGTCTGTGAGTGTCTGAAAACATCTCTGGCTTAGGTTCCAAACGGAAGGTCAGTCAGAAGTTGTTCAGAAGGTATGTGTTTGTGTACGATTGAAGATGGTATTAGTAAAGATAACCAGGTCTGTAATATGACCTTGCTTAGGTGGCTGAGAAAGGGATCCACTAGTCTGAGGAATCTCTCCTTTTAAGGGTGTTAGTTTTGGCATCTACTTTTGATGATTTGGTGGCCTAATTTTATTATTTCTTCAAGAGCTCTTAAATATCACATGATTTGAGATGCATGTGGAGAAATTAGAAAGGATAGAAACTTTTCATGTGGGAAAGAAGGTAGAATTTAGAGTTGAAGAACTGGATTTAAACTGGAATAATCACTTACCTCTTTTAGCTATCATTTTCCCTTACATAGAATTAGAATGATAGCAGTGTACACTTTGTAAGATTGTTGCAGGGATTAAATGAGATACTGTTTTTGACAAGTTTTATGAGCTATTAAATGCACTACACATGTAGTTATGGTTGACAGTGGTTTTAGGTGGTGATAAGAGGGATGAAAAGAAAGTAAGACGGTGGGTTCGTGACCCCCATAGGCTCATGTGCCACCTTCATTTATTTATTTATATAAAATTGTTTTTTTGTTTTTTTTTTTTCAATTGAGAGCAGATACTGTTTATTAACTGACCAGCTTAGAAAAATAATCATGGAAGACACCTTAGTTCATTCTTCTAATAAGCCTGTTGATCTGATCCTCCCTGTTGCCTGCATCTCCACCTTCTACAAAATGGGTGGTCTTTTTCTTCATTCCGCCCCGTGGGGAAGATAATTTAAAGGGCCACAGGAAGTTATTTGCTTCTTTGAAGCGTTTTCCAACAGTATAGATCTCATGAATCAGATCCTCCATGCAGATGATGCCATATTTTCCAAGAGATCAAGCAATCAGAGCGTTATCTGTCAAAGCAATTCGCTTCTTTTTGATCTTGCCATAACCACGTTTGTAGATTAGTTCATTTACTGACTTCAGATTTGGGTACCCCCATGCAATATATGGCTCTACAATCCTCAGCATGATAATTGAAGCCTTGTTGAGCTTCACAAAGGTTCCATTGTAGATTTGACGAAGGCGAAGAAGCTGCAACACCTTTCGGACCTTTGGGCTCACACCATTGATACCTCTGATCCTGATGACAAATGCCAGTTTGGGTTCTGCAGGTACATAGAAGTTGCCAGCTTTCCTTGCCATCCTCGCCATTCGAATTTCAGTTCTGTACATCTGCCTATATTCCTTGTGATAATGCTTCTCTTTTTCATAGATAAGCTTCCGCCTTGCCTTTCGAAGCATCTTTTGGGCAAACTTCTTTCTCAAGCGCTTGATCTTCAGCTCTGCGAAATTCCTTCGCTTTTTCTTAAGGGTTTCTGGCACAGCAGGAACCTTCTTCTTCTTCTCTTCTACACCCTCCATGGTTCCAGCTGGAAAAAGAGATAAAATTGTTTTTAATTGTTTTTTTAAGAGACGTAATCTCACTCTGACACCCATGCTGGAGTGCAGTGGTGAACTCATGGCCCTCTGCAAACTTGAACTCCTGGGGTCAAGTGATCCTCTCACCCTGGCCTCTCGAATT